TTTATCTTTGTTGAAATTTATTCAATACATAATTATGTTTGTTTATCCCAGACCTTGAGGTTGTTCTAGTAGAATATGAAGTGATTGTGTATTATGGTATTTGAGGCTAAAAAAAGAAAAAGCAAGTTATATTTGGTCCTAGAAAAGAAATGATATATATATATTTTAAATTTGAATTTGAATTTTTACTTTTCTTTAAGCAAAGATTAATATAATTTTTTGGGAGAAAAGTATAAAAGCACTTTACAGTTTTATTTTTTACCAAACAAATTAGTAAAAAAGCACTTTCAGCATCATGTCCATTTTAGTCATTATAAATAGTTACAGCACTTTAACGGTAAAAATTACCAAACGCTCTGATACTGCTTTTCATACTCACAGCGCTTTTAAAATTATAGTTTACCAAACGTTTAACTGTTTTACTTTACAGCTGATTCTTTTTAAAGCACAGCAGAAGCAACTTTTTTTTAAAGCGGCAGCAATCCCAAACTAGGCCTAACTATATGTATTGGCATTAGTTGTGTATTGTATTTGGGTTAACATAGTGGGCTGTACGCAACAAAAATAATAGTAGGATGTATAGGTTTTGTTCGGAAAGGCTATAATGAGGGCTTAAAGTGAGGAGGTTATTTGAGGAGGTCAAATCTCACCATCAACAAATGTAAAGAAATCATGGGACTTAAATATTTTAAATGTTTTGACGGTCGGATCGGTCTCCTCACTTTAACTCCTCATTGGAGAAGCTCCCGGTTTTGTTTCCCCCAAAACCTTCCCTAGGCTATAGCCCACCCGAGCCCTATATGTAGCTCCGCCTGCGGATTAAGATTATAATTGGAGCTTTTTTGAACAGATGGATTTGCCTTTCTACGTGGTGTTAACCCTTGGCGAATGATTAAAAAATTTCATTTAGATATGAACTTATTTTATCATGATATGATTTTAATTTTTTTAAGATCTCTTTGCTATTTGTTACCTTGACTGTTTGAGGGGATTCTTAAACCTTATTAATACGATTGAGTTGAAGAATAAGTTTAGCTTTAATTGATACTACACCTACCATAAATTTTTAGCATACGAGCAACCTGTGCAAGAGCATATCATTTTCATTCCTTAATTACCAAATTGAAATTTCATATAAAATTCAATAACCAAGAGGGTACTTAACCCAACCACTTAACGGAAACTAAATGCATTTCTATAAATTGTAAACATTTGAGTAAAACAGTAACCAATTTGAAATTTCCTATAAAATTCAGTGATCAATTTGAAATTTTCTATAAAATTCATAGACCAAAAATGTATTTAACAATTTTTTTAATATTGAAAAATAAATAGCATTGTTGGTGGTTCTTCATTTACTAGCTCCAAGCAATATTGCGAGAGGGGGAATACTGATGTAGGGAAGCTTGATAGAGGCTATCGGAAATACCCATACAAAACCAGACAACCTTCTCAATACTGAATATATCGCCAATCAAATTCAATCAAAAGTCAACCTGAAACTGCGAGGGATTACGTACTGTTTTACCCTCTCATGAGTCATATATAATTGTAAAACCATCTATGTCCGCATAGACCATAGCCTTCATCCATCATTTACAAAACAGATCATATCAGATAGACATACAACACTTCCAACAATTGGCTTACAAGATGCCTTCTAGTGGTAACCAAGGGGAGCAGGTGCCTCTCTCAATTCCTTGCCCTGAAAATGAATATCCTGCATACACAAAGGCAGACAGAATCCGGAAATCCAGAATTAATAAGACGAGCCTTGAGATAATGTAAAGAACACGTGAACGTGGTTGTCTGGTTATAGGAAAACAGGCTAAAACATACACCGGTGCTCATTATAGGCTTCACTAAATGAATTAGAATCGTGAAAGCTTCCACAGAAAACAGAGCTCAACACATCTAAAGAAGTGACAAATTGTAAAAAACCAGTGAAAGGCATGATAATGGAAAAGGTGTTTAATACTCACAGATGCAAAATGGTTGACATCTCGATGATGAGCTTCATCGGCACGAATCACAGTAATAACATCCTTCAGTGTAGAATCTTTAGGAAGCCTCCAGTAGTCAATTGCAATTGCAGGAGCCGGTACATTTTCAATCTTGCCACTATCGATATCCTTCAAATACTCTGTATAAGAGTGTATAGCCTCCTCCTCCAGATACCCAACAACCCTATGTGCCAGTTTTGGGGAAAGCACATAAAGAACAAAGAAGGCATTGAAGAACACTCCCTGCACAGCGAGAACCAGTAGTCTCTCGTACCACACAGGCTTCACAAGTTCCACCATCGTCATGAGGTGCATCCTCTCATTCTCTGCCTCTTCAAGTAAAGCCTTGATCCAACCACCACTCTGCTGGAACTTGCGGAGAGACCTTAAGTGCAGTAGCATTCCTCCCACCATACCAGGTACAGCTGCCACAGTTTCCAGCATCATTGCACGGCACCCATACCGCCTCTGAAACATACATTTCACTAGTTCAGAACTTCAGATCATATTGGAAAGAAAAGGGGAAAAAAAAAGCTTTGACCATGACTTTTAACTAGTATGATTATGAACAATAACTTAGGAAGCTTCTACACAGATTACAACTCCTGACAACGAAGAGGCATCTAAACTAAATTGCAGTTATGGTATTTGCAAGTGTTTACCCACAAAAATCAACAAACTTGACACGCATTTACAATAAAAAGTGGTTAAATTTTTCGACTTGAAACCCAGGAAGTTATAGAGCTAACTACATTTCCCCTAATTGATGTTTACATAAACTAATTAAAGAACACCAGCTATGCACAACTCTGTGACCATATAAGCAATAACAAACAGTCTGATCAACAATGCTGTTTTCTCTTCACACCAATGTTCTCAGTAGAATTCAGTAAACAAAAAAGAGAGGAAAACAATGATAACATGAACCAAAAATATTCTACAATTGGCATGTTCTGCTTCTTGTGTCAATCGATTGTATTGAAAAATTAGTATTTGCATAACGTGAAAAAGAATAAAAATAAGCGAAAGTAACAAAAACCTGAAAGAAAATATCAGTTGGAATCCGAAGAAGCTTGACGGTCCTATACGCAACTCTGTCCAGAAACGTCTTCGGCACATGATGCTTGCTCAGATCAATCGACAAGTCTGACTTATAAGTCTCCCATGGCTACATGAATTAAACAAAATTCAAGATCTGCTAAATCATATATATAAACAAAATTCAAAAATTCAAAAATATATAAATATAATTCTGACTAGTGCTTCTAACCATGAAGCAATTCCAAGGCCACTCGCTCCCGTCCTCCCTTGTGATCTTCGGCCTTTGAATCCCCCAGTAATTCGAAACGACAACGCTATCACTTCCTTTCTTGGCGTCGTCGGAAACCGAGCTCTGGCTCTCCTTCTGCTCCTTCTCCCCCAGTGACGCCGTTTCAGCAGACTGCGGCACCGTGCTCATCATCCTCCTCCAGTAAAACCCGCCCAAAACGTCACCGTTCCGGCGATTCAGAAACAGGGCTCCGTCCAACGGCCTGACGGCCACCGCAGTGGAAATGTAGCGGTTGCAGTTCCGGCCGCCGAGCAGGCCGCCGACAACCGACCTCACCGCGATCCGGTTCATCTTCTCCGGTTCGAGAGGGTTTTAGAGATCGTCAATTTGGGATTTTTTTTTGGTAATAAAACGGTTGCTTAGTTGATTTTGTGTGGCTTTTGAGTCTTCAGGGACAAGCAGTAGGGACATATAATGGTAGAGGAGCAGAAGTTACTGGAAAGGGTTTTGATCTCCTGTTTCGCGGAAAGATCAAATGATTTTACCCCGTTTGCTTGGAGAGCAAGCACGGCATTTATTTCTTCCATCACGTGAATCTCGTTGGACAATGGCGGTTGTGTCGTGTGTGTGTGGGGGGAATTTAGTAATTCTCTTCGCTCGGTGCCACAATTCTTCATCTTTCTCCTAGAAAATTTATTTACTGTTCACCTGTGTGCAGAAAAGTCAATGGTAACATCACTGTCTTGACCAGCAGCGAAACTTGAGTCAAACGGAATTACCCTTCGCTGGATTGGAAGTACATGGGAGACGTTGTCATGGGCATTGCTGGGGTGGTTCGGACAATTGCGTGGCTCCGTCTATTTTGGACACCCGCTTCCTTTTGTATAAACGTTTTATGTGGAATTACGGAACTGCCCTTATCTGGATTCCAAATACGTGGGACTTTGTTATGGACACTGCTGGGGTGGTTCGGACAATTGTGTGGCTCCACTTATTTTGGACACCTGCACTTACGTCGCTGCTAATTTTTAGTGACACGTGTGCGACGGTGGTATTTCCAAGTATCACCGGCAGACTTTTATATTTCAAAATTCGTCATTGAAAATTCTGTAAAGGCAGCTGTGGGGCAGGAACCAGGTACCAGTTTTCTAATTTAAAAAGGAAAACACATGGCATGCACTCTAATTAATCCACGTTTGTCGAATGTTGAAGATTCTTCCATATTATAATTTAATTTAATGATCAAATTTACTTGCTTCCCTAGGAGGTAGAAATTATCAAACGTTCTAAGCATATACAATTGGGCATGCTCCAATGGAAATGACAAGCAAAGCAATTAGATTATTATTTGTTTGCACTTTTTCAAGTCAAGTCAGGTTTGCACCAGTTGAACTTTCCCATCTTTAAAGTTGTGTGAGGCAAAATATGTGCATCGAAGATGTGTGTTAGGCTAATTGGTTAATTTAGTGTATTTTTTTTTTGCATTCGAGTTTGATTCTGTCATTCGTAATTTTGCGTTAATTAAATTATTATTTGTATATTAAAAAAAGAGCTGATTCATCCTGATTATAAAAATAGGCCACTAGGTCCAATCAAAACGAAATCTGTTTACTATCTTATTAGATGTGTCTAAAAAAGGATCTGTGTTCATATACATCATTTATAATCTTCATGAATATACAATAGAGAATTTATTAGATCATAAAGAGAAGAAAAAAAAAAAAAACTCTTTTAATTCTTCACGTACATACAAGATGAGTTTCAGTGATAACCAAGGGGAGCTGGTGCTTCTCTCAACTCCTTCCCCTGAAACTGAATATCCTGCAAAACAAAACACAAAACATATGAGGATAAGACACACCTTAAGATAAGATAACTTTGAGACTAATAATGCAAACATGGTTTTTCTGGTTATAGAAAACAGAATCAAACACAAACAATGCTCCTCCATGTATCAAAGGAAGAAGTAACAAAAATTGTGAAACCAGTAAAGATCATGGAAAGGCAGTTCATAAGACTCACAGATGCAAAATGGTTGACATCGCGATGGTGAGCTTCATCGGCGCGAATCACAGTGATAACATCGTGAAGTGTGGCGTCCTTAGGCAGCCTCCAGTAGTCAATTGCGATTGCAGGAGCCTTCACATTTTCAATGTTGCCATTTTCAATATCCTTCAAGTACTCTGTGTACGACTGCACAGCTTCCTCCTCCAGATACCCAACAACCCTATGAGCCACTTTGGGGGAAAGCGCATAAAGCACAAAGAAGGCATTGAAGAACACTCCCTGAACGGCGAGAACCAGAAACCTCTCGTGCCACACGGGCTTCACAAGTTCCATCACCGTCATCAGGTGCATCCTCTCATTCTCTGCCTCTTCAAGTAAAGCTTTGATCCAGCCACTGCTGTGCTCGAATTTACGGAGAGACTTCAAATGCAGCATCATGCCTCCCACCATTCCGGGGACAGCTGCCACAGTTTCCAGCATCATTGCATGGCACCCATGCCGCTTCTGCAACATGAATATAATGTTCAGTTTATAATTTCCGCCAACCATGTCAAATTTTTATGTTCCCCTTTTATAATTTACTAAGAACAAACATCGGAATTCCGAAATTCACAAGCATTTTACATTGATTCAAGCTTGTAACAGAGTCATAATAAAATCAAAACAAAAGGGGGAAAAAAGAAGAAGTGAGGTGAGAAGGTAACAAATCAAAACCTGAAAGTAAAGATCCGACAGAACTCGAAGAGACTTGACAGTCCTGAACGCCGCTTTGTCCAGAAACGTCTTTGGCACATGGTGCTTGCTCAGATCAATCGACAAATCCGCTTCATAAGTCTCCCATGGCTGCACTCAAAATTCAAAATTCCATAAATAAATAAATAAATAATTTCAATAATTCAGACTAGTCTAGTTAGTCCTCCTCCTGACCTTGAAGCAATTCCATGGCCACTCTGTCCCGTCCTCCCTCTTAATCTTGGGCCTCTGAATCCCCCAGTAACTGGAAACGACAACGCTACCATTGTCGTTCGAGCTCTCCTTCTTCTGTTCCTTCTCCGCCAACGGCGTCGTTTCGCCAGTCGACCCCGTGCTCATCATCATCCTAGTCCTCCACTGAAACGCTCCCAAAACGCCGTCGCTCCTCCGTCTCAGAAACTCCGAGCTCTCCAACGGCCTCACAGCCACAGCCGTTGAAATGTAGCGATTAAAGTTTCGGCCATTCGCGAGACCTCCGATCACCGATTTCAACGCGACCCTGTTCATCTTCTTCGCTCAAATTTGGGTTTTTGCTTGTAGAAAATCGATTTTTTTTTTGTCGTGGTGAAGCTGAAGCGGGCTTGAGCATTTTATATGGTGATTGATTAGGCTGGAAAGTGCTGGAAAGTCTGAAATTCAACGGTAAAATTTTGGCAGTTGACGATCTTGACTTTGCCATCTCTCTTCGTTCTGTCTAGATTCCAAGTCTTTGGGGTTGTATTGGTGCTGTCAAATGGCGTGGACCGATCAATTTCTTGCGTCCCACGTCGGAGTGACGCGTGTCCATGTTGGTGCTTTCCGGGAAGGGGCTGACTGGCGCGGAGGCTGAGAGAGGTGAGAAAGAATTGACTATTTCAATCATTCATAAGAAAGAATCAAGCACATCCTCAATCCCGATTCCCGACTATGCATCTAGAACAAAAACACATTCATGTTAGGTATAAACAGTGCCAGTAGTCCCATTCTCCTGGACCCCTCTGGTCAACCACCCTGGATTAGATCTAAGGGTTGAGAAAAAAAAACTGATTAAAAAATTATAATTGTATCATCAAAACACTATTTTGATTATTAAAAATAAGTTTTTTACCGTCATCTGATTGAAAAAAGGCAGAACTTGCCACCATCTCCTTCGTACAATGGAGAAGATCACCCTCCACCTCCACCTCTAGAAAATTATAAATAAAATCTTTAAAAACAACATCTCTATAAATAAATAAAAAAGGCAGCCCCACCACGCTAGATCTCCCCATCGCCTGTCCCAGACCCACATCCACACCCGCCCCTCTCTGTATGTGTGTCTCTAAGACTCTCTATCATGTGGGATGGGTGTGGTGAGAAGAAAAATCCAGTACATCTAGCCACCCACCCAACGACGAATTGCTTGTCGTCTTCAAGTACATGTTATTCGTTTTCTCCAGAGAGCGTGTTTTGCTTTCTTTTACTTTTTTAATTTTATTTTTTGTTAAATAAAATTAATATAAAATGATAACATATTGATTTTTAAACTTGTTTTTTTTAAACCATTAGATTAGATCTAATACGGCTATACTATGTATTAAAAAAAATTATTTAAAAAAGTATAATGCCTGGCGGCTATACTATTTTGAAAAAAAAAAAACATTACCCACGTATAGCCGCGCGGCTATACTATATAGCCCGGCTGTACTTTTGAAAATAAAAATACCTCAGTATAGCCGCCGGGCTATACTATTTATAAGAAAAAGGACCCGCCTAGCTCTCTGGTGCTCACGTGTCAAAACCAGTAAAACCCCATTATAGCCGTCTGGCTATACGTTGTTTTAAAAAAAAAAGAGTTACCGTGGTATAGCCGGTCGGCTATACTATTTAAATATATTATATTTTAAAAGTTTAGCCTACCTTCTATTAAAATAAAAAAAATAAAAAGTTTCTTCCCATTTGCATTAGTTTATACTTTATTCATATTAATTGGCTAGTTTCAACATATCCAATATGAATATTGAAAGAGAAATTTCAAAGTAAATCAATGTAAGAGTTCAATTTTTTCTTCTTCTTTTTTTGTGGGAATGTTTGCCTTTTATCTAACTTATTCTCTCGAGTGAAACTTGTTGGAAAAAACAATAGTCAATATTCTTCTAATAATTTAATTAAACAATTAAATTAAACAAGAAATAGAATAATGAAATTAAATATGGCTATCAATTAAAAACTATTCCAATAGGTATTAGATAAGGATAAATTCAATCAGACAAAAAAATTATATAATATTTGAATTTTAAAAATAATTCAAATAAATAAATAAATAATTAACTAATTGAGTTTAATTTAAATCACAGAGCCCAAGATGTGTACAGAAAGTGGATGGATTGTTGAAAAATACGCACATACGTGTATAATAAGAGTATTAAACGTGAAAATGTTAAATTCTTTATATGGGTAATAACTTTGACAGAGTAAAAAAAAATCAAAGGGGACAATAGATACTCCGGTTATGGCCTAATAGTAATGGATAATGCTCTAAACTACTCATATCGATAAAATAAAATGGGGCAGAAATTTTTTATATAAAAGGAATCCTAGTATATATACACACGGCTATACTATCTATTAAAAAAAATTATCATAAAAAAAGGGGAATAAAGCCGAGCGGCTATTCTATTTTGAAAAAAAAAATTTACAAATATAGCCCGGCGGCTATATTATTTATAGGAAAAAAAGGACCCACCTTGCGCTAAGGCGCCACATGTCAAAACAAGTATAGCCGATCGGCCGTACTATCTTTTTAAAAATACCCCCTTATAGCCGCCTGGCTATACGTTTAAAAAAAAAAAAAGAATTACTAACTTGTATGAAAAAAAAAAAATTCATTAAATAAACAGCATATAGTATAGTAAATTAACAACTTTTCATATTAAAGAAAATTAAAATAAAAACCAATAATATTCCTATATGGACACTACTTCTATCATTTCCAGTAAGAAGGTATTCATACTTCCTGTAAATCACAGTATGCAAATCACATGTCAAACCGGAAAGTTGAAGTTTCGCTCCTACTTCCAGAAAAAGTGATAAGTATTTTTCTTCCTATATGTATGGTAGCTTTTCCCTATTCATATAGTAGGTAAACTTTTCACTTTTCTTTTCCCCATTATACAAAGCTTGGAGTCTTCCATACACTTGACTTGACTCAAAGTCTTTGTCTCTCATTCTTTGAAGTTAAGTATCGATTAACTTCAGGGGTGACTCCAGGCCTCGTCTTCTCTGCTTCTAGTTTTGCTGGCTTGTGTTCTTGGGCGTTAGCCCCTTCTATTACCAAAAAAAAAAGTATCAATTAATGCCCTTTCAAAAAACCAAAAAAATAAAATAAAATCAATTAATGCGTTTTCTGCTTCATATGTTCAGATGTGTCCCACCTTAATGCTTCACAATATTGGATGCTCAGAAAGTTTTAAATTTGGACGCAGAGCCGGTCCATTGATTTTGTAGGCCCTGTGCAAATATGGATGTCGAGGCCCTATATATACATGTAGGAAAAAAAAATCCATATAAAAATAAAAATTTCTGACACGGGAAGAACACATTCGGAAAGAGTTTCCCAGAAAAATTTCTTTAGTCACCCTTCCAAATCACAGAGCTGATAAATTGATTTTCCAATTTTAATGCTTGGTGAATTCTCATGTGAATAAGGGAGGGAGAAAAGAACTGTGATTTTGGGGAAATGGCTAAAGCTTGGGTTTTTACAATCCAAAATGTGATGGAAGAGGGTGGTACACTGGTACTGAAAAGAAATGGCTTTATTTTGATGGAGAAGAGTGAGAAAGACTTACTGAAAGATAAAAGAATTTTAGAATGGTTTTGCAGCTTGAGAGTTAGGAAAAGGCAAACACAGGTTTCAAACCATAATAAATAAATAAAAAGAAGAGTTACAGCGTGAGAGTTGGGAAGAGGAAAATGAATTAAATTAGGGTCTCTGCTCTCTAAGTCGTAGAATTTGTTGATAATTAATATTCAATTCAATTTTAGTTTTGGCGCCTTGCATGTGGTGTTGTGGGGTGATATTTAATATTTCATTTTTATTTTCATGTTTTAGTTAATTTAATGGGTTGACTTGGAAAAATTTGGAGGCTCCTAAATTTTGGGGGCCCTGTGCGGTCGCACACCTCGCACACCCCATGAACCGCCTTTGGACGACATGTCTGGTGGGATCAGCGACTGTTTTTCTTTTTTCTTTTTCTCGTCTTCTTGGTGTGTGTTAGATAAATTGAAGACGAACTATACACAAAATTGTGGTTTATTGTTTTGATTTACCATGCATAGGAATAGGAATGTGAATTGATCCCTTACTTTCGTGAACTTCTTTGCTCCAAATCTACCTAGCCTCAGAATCAGGTCAAGTCCTTTCCATTGTTACACTGAAAAGAACTTAACAGATTGAAACGAAATTTAAGAGGGTGGAGTGGTTGCCCTATCCTTGTTTTTTTTTTTTTTTTTAAATTTAATAATTAATAATTTTACGTGCAGCTTTAAAATTTTTTTTTTTTTTTTATAGGTCTTCAAAGAAAATTGTTGGGTCTCTATGACACGTTGAAAAATAGGAAACAAGCACACAATTATCTCTATATATCTTCAGCCACCAGGGTTTCCTTCGGGCTACTTGACTCTGAAAATGAACATGTGCGTTGGATTAATTGACTTTATTTTTGTTGAGAAAAACAAAAATCAGTGACTATTTAAAATAATTATATATTAACAATATCAACGAAATAGATGAAAACTGTAATACAGAATATGGTAAACAACAACAAATAAAACTAACTTGGATTCGAGATAGAGGCTTGCATATTTGGTGCAATGTCCTAAAGACAGTAATTTCACCCATTCTCGATGCTTGAAGTTCTACAGGTGACTGTCTCAACTATTTGTATTCTAAGCCCTAGCACTAGGACTTAGAATCTAGCGAACCTTATTTGATTTAAATAAACCTCTGAAACCATATCTGGGGAGAGAGGTGGTTGCTGCTTGATTTGAATTTTTATTTCAAAGTTATCAAATACATATAGTAAGGTGTGGCAGTTGTGAGGTTTAGTACAATACAATTATTCTGACGTGGACTTATTAAAACTCATTAAATTAATCTAATGGTTAGTATTTTATAAAATGTGTGTAAATACATCGATACTAAATGTAGAGGCTCAGAAAACATCTATGGATAATCTTTTTAAAGAGAAGACATAGTCAAAGTGAAATGTGCATGAGAAAGAAGCACATTTTGATCCAAAGGCCATACCCACAAGTCACTCAATTAGGCCACTTGCATAGCCAATCTAGATTATTCTATTTCCAAAAGTAAGTCTTATAAAGACCTTCAAGGAACTCTAGTGTTCCAATGTGGGACTAATTTCAACTCAAACATGTTCGCAATGCCTTGGAAAACCAACAAAACTAAATTATGTTACTGCACACGTTATTTGTCATAGAGAAATGCATGCTGAGTTAGAGTGTTCTTGGTAATTGCTTCACTTTTCAAACAACACTTTACATGAAGAATACTACCACTTCTCTTACTACTATGCCCATAAATATTTGATTGAAATTGTT